CCAGCTCATAAGCAAGAATCCTTTTGCCCCTCAGAGACAGTTGCACTTCATCTGCTGCGAGGAGGCCCGGTGCCATGTAAACCACCCCGTGATCAAAAAACCCAAAATTCTGATGATGGCACCAGCCCCTGAGCCACGTGTTGATCAGATATGCTTTCCTATTCCTTTCAGCGTTCTTCCCTGTGACTGAAGGGATTGATGAAAACACTACCTGTGCTCCCACTCCATCGACCAGTCACCCCCGTGCTCTATAACATTGGCTATAACTTTAGTTTGAATGTAATTTAAAACTTAGGTGTGCCTTTTTTTAATCTTTGCATATATGATGTCTGACACACAGTGCATAGAAAGGTGCATCAGCTTGTGCACCCCGCCTAGTTCCCTGGTCCCCAGAGTTCTATGCAGGTGGTTACTGCAGTGTCTGTGAACCTAGTGCCTGTGGAGTCCTTATGCACTGATTTTAATGACCTCTGGAGTAAAATACACTGCTCAAAATCTGTTTAGTTCTCACTTATTATTGCTATCTTGCTACTTGTGAGAAGCAGTACTAGAATTTCCAAGAGCAATAAATAATCTGTTCTGTAAGTATCTTTGATATTGATTGGTCATCTTGAAGTTTCAGAGTACATTTGTTCACCTTGTAATTGTGTGTCAGGATCTGCTCTTACAGCAACAAGGCTTTAAAATTTCACTATGTGTTTATCAAGGTTAGAGAAATACTGACAGAATATGATCCCAATTTTATGCCTATGGGCCTAGATGAAGCCTACTTGAACATAACAGAGCACTTGGAGGAAAGACTGAACTGGCCTGAAGATAAGAGAAAATTCTTTTTTAACACAGAAAGCACTACAGGAAAAGGTAAGCGGGTTACTGTTTTTTCATGTGGTCAGCTGACATTGAGGGGAACAGAAGGTTTCTTTTAGGAATCCTTGGCAGACTGATGACAGCACTAAATTGTAGTTACAACTTAAGCTTTGTTTTCTTAACAGGAAATTATGATTACACAGTTTGCTGTATCAATATGACAATCATAGTCTAGACTCAAAAACCATGTAAAAGAATACAAGTCACTCCCTCAGTCCTCGGAGGAAGCAGATGATAGTGGAGGTGTCCCTGGCTACCTGGGGGTCCCAGTCTCACTGTCCAGCAGCAGTTCTGGTCCAGGTTTCCCCTTAGGACTTGTAACTGCTTGGTTTTATGGACAGTGCACTGGGTGCTGTCACACTTTCCTGTCCTGTGGCAAGGTAACTGAGAGCACCTGGCTGGCCGGGTGCCTGGGACCTTCAAGGCTGGAGAAGAAGTGAGTAATTGGCCCGGTGCCTGGGAACCTTCAGGCCAGTAGAGAGTGGAAGAAGAAATCTGGTTCATCTGCTTGTGCACAGGACCTTCAGGGCCTCATAACGGTGGGCAAGGGAAGGGATACGTGACCCGCTCAGTCACAGAGAATGGCTGCTTGCCTTATAAAAAGGCATTAGTTCTGCTAACTGCATTACCAGGGGTTGGGAGCAGGGGCTACCAGTCACACATGCATATAACGTAAGCTTCAGATAAGCTGCACACACTGAAAGTGTACATATGTAAGTCCTTGCATAATTCATCCTTCCATATACTCTCTACCTCTGACTTCTTAGTTTAGAGGTTAACTTCCTCTACTACTCACCTGTGCGTAAAAGGTATGCTGCTGATGATTTGGACTTGCAGAATTTTAAGTTGAGTAAAATGTGTGAAAAGTGGTACTAGGTTTACTAAACCCAATCATGTGTTTTAGGAATGTATGTTTCCTTTACAATTCAACATGATAGTTTTGAAAATAAGTCATAATAATCTTATGACTTAAGGAGGTATAGAATAAATAGATTTACTGTTCTAAATGTTATTTGTAAGGTGTTTCCTAAAACACTATAGTGAGTCCTGTACATCAGAAACATGAGAAATTGTCTGCAAAGACTGTGTGCATAAGCTCTAGTTACATGATTATTTTACAAGACTAAAAATGTATAAAGTAATGGGCACTGCAGGAGTTACAGTAATGCTTAAGGTATGACTGGATTTCACTTGGCTCTGGAAGATGAGTTGGTACCACATCCACAACTGCATATCCAACTGTGAATAATAAAAAAGGAGTCATGCAAATTGTCGATTGATGCACAAACTAGAGTATTTATATATCAGTATTCAAAAATGATCTAAGTAGCCATTAAGAGGATAATCAAGGATACAGTACTACTGAAAAACATTAATAGGACAGAAAGAAAAAAAACAGCATAGTCTTTACAAAATAAATATGTGATATGTAGTCATGTGCCTCTTCATACCTCTCTGACGTCTTTGTTCTTCTGAAACACAAACAAGCACTCAGAATGTGAAACTATAATAATAAAGTTTGTAGAGTCAGACAAAGAGCTGCTGACATTACTTGTTCTACCATGACTGCAGTTGAAAACCAGAAGCTTACCAGGCCGATGGTTCTAGAACCAGATATTCCAAACCCTTAATTTTCTTTGGAGACTATTGAAAAAACTTTTGCCAAAGATTTTTATTTCCACAAGAAGGGAGCATCTGGTCTTTAATCTGATATGAAACAAAAATAATACCAAAATTTTGATGTTTTTCTGCTGCTGCAGCAACAGGCCGTTAAACCTTGTTGCTATTCTGGAAGTTACATTCAGTCTCCTAGCCAATTCTTCCAATCCCAGCCAATCTCAAAGCATATTAAGAACAAAGCAGTTATGACTCTCTTTAAACAAAAAAGCAATGCAATTGCTTTGGCTAAATAATTACTATTTTTTTTCCAAACAGAAAAAAATAAAACTGCTAATGAGCTCTCTTCAGCCACTGCAGAAGGAAATCAAAAAAGTATATGTTTTATATTGATGGATTAATTGTTTGTGTTTCTATCTAACATAGATAAAGATGATATAAATATGTCAGCCAAATTTAATGAAGATGGATACTCTTCTTCACCGGTACTGTTTGAAGACAGCACATCTCTGATGGATGACCACCCTGAACAAAGAGATCAATCAGTGGAAAATTTGGTTGTCTTTGGAACTTCTGCAGAGGAAGCTGTGAAGGAAATTCGCTTTAGGATTGAGCAGAAAACTCAGCTGACTGCTAGTGCAGGTATTCGGACACATGTGCATAATAATAATAATAATAATAATGCTTTGTATTTCCACAGTGTCTTCTACTCTAATCTCAGAGGGCATTAAGAAATTAGCATTGCCACAGTGTTCTTGTGCTGCAAAGAAATACGCTCTCTTTGCAAGTCTGCAAAGACTATGACTTTGAAGTCTTTCAAGAGATGTTACGGCTATCAAAGTCACTCCTTGTTTTAGGGGGTTTTTTGTTGCTTTTTTTTGAATCATAGAAACAGTTATATCATTTTTTACTTCTTTCTTCTTGAAATACAAGTAGTGTCGAAGAATGACCAGTGTGCTCAGGAGCTAACCTGAAACACACACTGGTGGTTGTTGTTTTAGTGTTTCATGTAAATTGTAAATTTAACCAGAATTGCTTTCATAAGCCAGTGGTCATACTGACATCTGTCACTGGTTGCTAAATTGCTGTTAGTTTGAATAGCAGATCTGTATTGCTAAGTATTTCTAACAGTTCTCCACACTGTTGCTTGCTTAAGGCGATATCAAAATTAATTTAAAAGTTCATTCCCAGAGAAGTATGTGTTGAAGTTAATAAACTATTCACTAGCTTTTTCATATTTACCATTCAAGTTTTATGTCTTTTGACTTCAGGCAACCTACCTGTAAGTCCCAATTGTTTTGATGATAATCTGGATTAGGTCACTAAAAAAAGTGTATGTCCCTAGCCACTTGGATGCCATCCAAACTGCTTTGTGAACCAGGTCAGTGATTCATCAGGGAGTGCTGAACGTTCTGAAGCAGATGTGGAAGGCCAGGAAAGTGTTGAATGTAAACAGAGGTAAAGGAACAGCTAGGAGGAAGAAGAAGGATGAGACCTCCCTTTCCTGTATGTTATCTCATGAGTAGTAGCAAAATACTTTGTTCTACTGAAATTTTGCCTTGCTAAGGATAAGTTAGTGTTTAGAAAACAGACATAGCTTTTATAACTGCATCAGGGGTTTTAAGCCTAAAAATGAAAAACAGTTAGAAGTTTTGAATAATCTTGAATAATATGTTATATTGGTGAGCGATTCAAAATTTAGACCATTAGAGCTGTAGCACAGATTAATTCTATTTTTCTTGCTAAACCAATTCCAGAGTTGATTTGTAAAAACAGAAATTTTCATAGGAAAGAGCCAATGCTCCTCATCTCTGTCAGTGTCAGTGAAATATATATATGTTTCTAAATGACTACCTAGCAGTTGTAGCCCGCAAAAGACTTTCATTTGGTAAATTTTGTCAAAATTAATTTAGACTTTTTGCTGAAATAGAAGGAAGAAATATGTCCTCATTAAGAGTTCATTATAACTGCTGTTGTAAGCATTTCCTTTTGTCTTACCATAATGACCATCATAAAATCATTCAATTGTGTAACTGTTGTTATTTTTAAACACTTGGTATTTAACCCCTCATGACTTATTAGTGCATGTTGTGTTACCCTGGCTATCTTAAAATAGTAGGTACACTTTATCTGGTGCACCCATTATATTTAATCTACCACATGTATTTATGTTCGCACATGTCTATTACAAAAGTTTTTTGCAGAATTGTAATAAATCTGGTTATCAGTTATTGTCATGCTTTTGCTTATGTTTAGTCTTTGCCAAATGTGTAGGTTACTCTTGTGCTTTTAAATACTGGACAGTTAATTAAACATTGTCTTGTACTTTTTGAGAATAGGGGGTTTGTTTGTTTGTTTTTAAGGAATAGCACCGAATACAATGTTAGCAAAAATGTGCAGTGATCGCAATAAACCCAATGGGCAATGCAGAATTGCTCCTGAGAGACAAGCAGTGCTAGACTTCTTGAAAGATTTGCCCATTAGAAAGGTAAGTTATCATGATATATACTGTGTAATCGTGTATGTTCCTTATGTTCTAAAAGGAAGATTTCTACTGAAGAAATAGACTTTTCTAGGTAATCTGCCCAGTTGTGTTTGATTTAAATTGTTCTTGGTATTGGATCTACAAATGGAAAGTTTACAACATAATGATACTTAGTCTTTTTCAGGTGCCAGGTATAGGAAAAGTAACAGAGAAGATGTTAAAAGCCCTTGGAATTGTGACTTGCTCAGAACTGTACCAGCAGAGGGCACTGCTTTCTCTTCTTTTTTCAGAAGCATCTTGGCGTAATTTCTTGGATATTTCTCTAGGTTTGGGTTCAACGCATTTGGAAAAGTATGTTTTGGTGTTTTTTTCTCCTGTGTTTACATTTTTATAGATTTTTCCTTAATGTGTTACATACTGTACATTTTAAGACATATTTTATTGACAAACAAACATTATGAAAATTTGTCTTATTTAATAGGTTTCAAAAGATCTCTGATACCTATTATGGTTACAGTTATGGCTAAGATGTACACAACAGCCAAACATTAAAAAGCAAAAGTTTGTACAACCAAATCTAATATATGAAACCCCAAAAAGCCTCTCAGAGAAGTTGCAGTTAAATGTATATCCAGAAATCAAGTCAGTATCATTTAGGATAACCTCATAATTACTGAAATAGCTAGAGAAATGAGTTATCCTAAGCAGAGGTGTTCCGTCCTGTTTCTTCTAGAAAATATACATTAATTGCTTATTACTATAATTATATGATTGTAATGAAAATCGCATTAGTATCTGATCTCCTTTGGTGGTAAATTGCCATATTTCTGTTGAAAATAAGTGAAGTTTCTGTGTCTCCTATCATGTTTATGTACTTATTTCTCATCTAAACTTGTGAATTTGCTGGAATAGAACTGAAAATTTTTATATACTTCTTCATACCTTTTCCTTTAAGGTTCATACTACTGTAATGGCTTTTTAGCCTCCTGTTGGGAGGGGAGAAGTCAGTCTTACTAGTCAATACATCTTTTCAATAATAGGCATCATTTCTAAGCCTTTCCTGGATACAAACATGGAACACTTGTCCTTAAAAAAAACATAGCATTTTGCTGTTTGTGTAAGAGTCTTAATTTAGGATTGAGTCCTTTCTTTTAAATATTCCTTCCTTAAATATCCTTCTATCCTTCCCAAAGTGCTGAAATTCTATTTAAAAATAGATTTGACAATGATTTGATTTCATTAGGAGTTCCAAAGTATCTTACGTACTTCTGAAAGACCTATTCTGTATTATTTGTTACTTCTCTGACAGTAATAGATCCTCTTTTTTCCCATTTGACTAGAAAATAATACATACAGTTACCAGTTTGTAGACTAGTAATGTGCTAGCACAAATTTTTGTGTTGTTTTTGTTTTCAGAAGTATGTTGACTTGAAACAAAATATGCAGTAAGATTGACTTTGTGAAGATGACTTGGTAAAAGATAAAGTGCCGTGTTCCAAACATTTCTTTCTGTTAAGATAATGCAACCTGAAATGGTCCTTTAATAGCTGGTGCACTGTCTCCCCTTATTCACCCTGTTTAGGTGTTACTGTCTCCCCTTATTCACCCTGTTTAGGTGTTACATGGTCTGGGAAATCTCCCAGTACGTACCAAAAAAAAAAAGAAAAAAAGTGTATTTCAGAAGCCTAAATTATCATTGTGAAGGTGTTTACAGGTGTCATCTAAGAAGTTTATTTCTTGGTTTTGTTTTTATTAGTACGAACCTGATTTCAGTTATTTTACTGTGGAGAAGGCAAGCCCTTAACACACCAACACATGAGTCCTCAGTAAATGGTTCATCTTACAGTTGTCATCTGTGACCTTGTCTTTTATAAAAATCTGAGGGTACCAAATTTGTTATTTCCAATACTTAGAAGAAGAACCTAAAAAGAAAATGCTTTGAGGAACTCCTTATATGCAGAAGAGTTGTTAAAGGATGCTCAATTAAAACTGGAAAGAAGAAAACAACTAAACAAATAAACAAAAAAAGCCTTAACACATCACCTTTAACTTGGGCAATAATTTAGAGAGAAAGCAAACTAATTCCTCAGATAAACAAATATTCAAATAGACACAGTATGTTCACAATTTTAACAGCGGTGCTTCACAGTTATAGTTAGGTGAGACAGCACAGGATTTGTAGTTAGTTTTGTTTTTAAATAAGACTCCTTCTGATATAGGAGGTAAGTTTTGGTGGTTTGTGGGGGTTTTTTAAAAAACTTTACTTTTCTTGACATCTGTCTGATCTATGTCTCTACTTCATCTATGTCTGTCTTTTAAAAAAGTATTCTCCATTTCTCACTCGCTTAAACTTTATGTACAAGATTTGTAGAAAAAGTTAACATCCAGATTTTATAGAAGAGACTGCTGTTAGTTGTTGAAGCATGATTGGTTGACTCAGAGTTTATTGAAAAAGTGACAGTTCTCTGTAAAGTGAGTATAATAAATTCTTTTTCTCTTTAAAGGGATGGAGAAAGAAAAAGTATGAGCACTGAAAGGTATGTTTGTGCCAGAGGTACTTCTGTCCATTTGTGTGTTCTTTTTTCTCATAATCTGATTCTCCTCATGCCTTTAATGTATCAAAATGGTCTTTAAACTGTACTATAGGATAGAAATATATAAGGGCTTGAATTTTTTTCATATGTTACAGCTTAATGTCAATATCAGTCTAGTATCCTGCAGTCACATGCATGGCAAGTATAGCATAAGGTAGACTCGCAAAGCAGACAATAATTTTGCATGGTTAACTAAAATTGTTTACATTTTCTAACTTTTAAGTTTTTACCAGTGTAAATTTTCTAAAGAAGGTGGTGTATGTAATTTCCAAAAGCTATTTTTTAAAAAGGAAATACTGCGAAGATAATCTACAGAGCACCATAATAATTATCCCTGCCCTCATGTGTTGTCCCTTCTTAGAAAAGATGAGAAAAGATTCTTAATTCTTTTGAGACTTAATAGTTGTGGGCAGCTTAAATAAGCTCCGTAAAGTTTGGTACCACCAGAGCTGAGAAATTTATGGCTGTAGTCTTGTGCTGGTTTGCAGGCAGACAGATAATCTGAGTAGCCTATTGTACCTTTCTGCTTTTCTTTCTTCCTTTTTTCCCTAAGGGAAACTGTTTTAGACCAGAGACATCAATGGGCTGCTGAAATCATGAAACTAGTTTATATGGGGGAAGAAATGGGCCTGAAATAACATTCTTTCTGTCCTTCCCCTTCCAAACTTAGGACTTTTACAGCTTCTGAATTACTGCAGCATTGCAATGCTGTAAATCACTGCAGCATTGCCAGTATAACCTGAGTTACTCCTTGGATAATGGCATGGGACCCACCGTAAAATATTAATCGCATTAGTTTGGCAGCAAACGCTCTTCGGGGAATGTGAATTGTAATACAGGGTGACTTTTCAATGCAATCAGGTAAACCTGAGTATAACTGAGAGATGTGAAATCCAGTGTAACGATAGGGACTTTACGCTCATAAATATAAAGCCTGGCATGAAACAATTGATCTGCAAGACCTTTCCAAAGTCATCTGGCAGCTGTAAGTTTTGCTTCCTGCTTCTCTTAAAAGCATTACTAACTGAAGGTTGCCTTTCCTCTCATGTTATTACTAAAAAGCAGATGAAAAAATAATACTGTAATTCCCCTGCTGGGAACCTAAAAAGTTCTAGCAAAGGCAGTTAGCAATGTTTTTGGCAGAAACATAGTTTTTGTCCTCTGAGGCTGACATAATTATCCTATCTTTTTCTTAGCATCCATGTTATTTATTTCTGATACTTGTCTCTAATGTTGACTTTCTGATCCTTTCTTTCTTCTGATGTTACACAGCACTGTACAAAGGAGATTAGATACAAATAACTTGGCTGGCTCCATGAATTCAGTTGGTGTTAGTATTCTCTCTTGCAAACATTTAAGCATTAAAGACCTTAAATCTGATACATTTTCAAATAGTGCATGAAAAATTGAAAGCCAAATTATTTCATTATTTGAAGGGCTTTGCAAACATTTTGAAACATGTAAATGTGCACAAATATTTCTGTGTCATATTTGTATTAATATTAATTTTTCCTTGAAGTAAACACTCAGACTTATACAACCTTCTTCTGATGTAGTTTTGTTTAGCTACACAAAAAATACTTACAGATGGCAGCCACTGAACAAATTTTAGGATTTATACTGAAAAACAGATCTTACCTTTATCTTAGAACATTCAGTGAAATAAACACAGCAGAAGACCAGTACAGCTTGTGTCGAGAACTCTGCAGAGACCTTGCTCAAGAGCTACAGAAAGAGGGACTTAAGGTATTTTTATTATTCTCTGTTTACTTGCAAAAAGACAACACTTTGCACTCAAACTTATTAAATGCAGCCGTTAGTGTGCATGCTTTCAGCAGCTTCATACCATGCAATCTATTTTCAGAAGGCTCCATTCTTTAATTTGCAGATATTTAGAATGATTTAGGCAGCATTTTGATACTGTTCAGTGGATATCTAATAACACACATGGAAAAAATTAAACTAATTAACCAAGTTATTTTGCTTTTAGCATAAAATGTTTATATGCTATGTTTATAAAGAAATAATAGAGCTGATTGTCTATGAGCTGTGCTTTGGTCATGTAATACTAATGTATTTAAACTACATGTTATACTAACATATTTAAAAGACTCTGTTTCTCTCCCATATTCACACAGGATCCAGTCAATAGCCAGTAGTGTAGTTTAAGAAGGTCATGTGTCCCAAACTTCCTGACAAGTTACTCATACCATTCAATGGTATGAAGGGTAGGAACAGTCCCTGTATTCCTTCTTCCCAAATTTCTGTTTGTTATCTGGAAAGAACAGTTCATATTTTCTATGGACGTCTTTATGGTAAAGCAAGGAATAACATTCAAGACCTAAAAGAATTGTGATTAGTCTTCTTCAGCCATAAAAGATTGTCTCAAAAGATGACAGATTTAAAGGAAAATCATCAGCTAAGAAGGACAAAGGGATAAGCTTACAAAGGCACCAGAACAAAAGGAGTGCCATTTATTTACATTTGAATGGACACACTAAATCACGCAAATGGTTTGGAAGGTGTTGCCACACGAATATCTGTGCCAAACACAGATGCTGTGTGTTGCTTTGATAGCACCATGCAGGAGGAAGGATGTTTTCAATGAGTTACACATCCTTAGTAGTTTTTCCAGCAGACTTAAGATACCTGGCACTGAAAGTTTCCAAGTGAGGAAATAATTTTTTGTAGACAGGGTAGAAGTTGTAGCCAGAGCATGAAATGCATTGAACATGCACTGTGGCAGATGGTCTGCTGGGAACCATAGCCAAATGACCCAGTTCAGAGAATTCAATTTTGCCAGCAGTTTAGGAGGAAAGGCAGAATCTTTCAGACAAATTCTTGGCAGTGCCCCTTGCTGTACATAGATAAGCACACAGTCTTGACTATGGCTTTAGGGCCCTTATATAGATGCTACATAATAATTGTTTCTGTGCTGTATATGACATACTTAACCTTTTTCTTTTTTTTCCCTTTTTTTCTTTTTTTTCCCCCCCTAGGGTAAAACTGTTACCTTGAAGCTAAAGAATGTGAACTTCGAAGTAAGAACAAGAGCTTCAACTGTGCTGTCTTCTGTTTCTACTGAGGAGGAAATATTTGCTGTTGCTAAAGATTTGTTAGGAACAGAAATTGAGAGTGTTGCTCCTCACCCTTTACGGATAAGACTTATGGGTAAAATATTTTAAACTCATTCTTCCTTTTCAGACTTAGGTCTTAAAGGGTTTCAGAGTAATAGACTGTACTCTAAATGGCTATAAATGTGTTTATCCTTTCTCCATTACGCTGCTAGTTTTTGCAAAGTGAAACAGGTCTGGAGTGCTGAATGGTGACTCAGGAATGTTTCACTAATTGCAGTTGTACTTTTCCTGCCACCTGTTAGCCCTGGAACAACATAGACATCATCATGAGAGTAGAATCTTAACGCATTGCAATGCTTAATTCTGCTGCCTTAAAAGAGCTTTCAAATCTGCTTTGCACCACAGCACCAGATAGTTTTGGTCCATAACCTTTTTTAGAAAGAAATGCTCTAAAGTGCTTACAGATTTGAAGATGCTACATACTGCAAGAAATTTGAAAATTTCTGTCAAAAGTAAAGTCAGTGTTTTGATTCAAAGACACTTGTGTTTCAAGTGCTTATACATTCTGCTTGAACCATTTACTGATACATAAAACTTAGTTTTCTATGGTGTTAGAATACACTGAATCAAAAAATATTTTGGTGAGGAAACTTAATGGAAAACCCTCTTTCAGACTGAATTCTATATAGCTGTATTAAGTTTATAGCCTCATGTTATGGTGCAGTCAGTTAAAACTTCATGGCTATTGAAATTAATAATATGTTTGGGCAAGTGTTTGGTCTGATAAAATTGTATAGACCTTGTGATCCATTGTTAGCATTTGCAAGTAGTGTAGCCTCCTTTAGAGACAAAATACACTTTTATTTGGTGGATGTGTACCTCAAAAGCTGTTAATTAAGAATTAGTATCAAGTTTGCAAAAAATTGGTATTAGAAGTTTGTTTTTTAATCATTAGGTGTACGAGTATCAGGATTTCTCAGTGACGAAGAGAAGAAGTACCAACAAAAGAGCATTATGAGTTTCTTAAAATCAGGAAAAGAATTTGGTTTTCTCAGGCTTCAGCCAGGGAAGTCCAACAAAGAATATTTCACAAAAAATTCAGAAGCATGTCCCAGAGGGAGTTTTTTTGATAGAAAGCGAGCTGCAAGACAACTAAACAGTAGGGATCTTTCTCCAAATGAAACTGTAGGTAAGCAGCTCTTTCATGATAGTAAATCATCAGCAAATTTTGTGAAAGAAACAAAGAGAGTCACAGACTTACAGAATTCTAATGTGTGTAAGATCCTCACCTGTCCTGTTTGCTTTGAGGAGCAAAGCAGCAGTAATTTGGAAGAGCTTAATAGGCATATTGATGAGTGCCTCAGTGGGACTCTTGTTAAAGATACCATGGAAATATCCAAGAATGACAATTCAAGAGAAAATACACTTGACTTTATTCCGCAATTTAAAAATGAAAATGTTGATGAATGTAAAAAAAATAAAACGGATCAATTAGCAGAAATAGACCAGTCTGCAAGTACATCTGACAACTCTACTAGCAATAGCACAGAAGAGGTCACTCCCGGAGAAAGACAGCCTAGCAATCTCGGTGATATTGCTAGAAATGTGTGTCTGAAACAGTGTGTCTTCCCCAAAAGAATTTCACAAGATGAAGACCATTTTGAAAAGACTGAACATACAGAAGCAACTAGTTCATCCTGTTTCTTTGAAGCCAAAGACGACAGTGTTCTTGTTTGTCCAGTTTGTAATTCAGAACAGAAAACTGCCAGTCTTGTATCATTTAACAGACATGTGGATGTCTGCTTAAATAAAGGCCTCATCCAGGAGCTGACAGAAAAAAAAGATTTTCCTACTAAGACTTATAATATGGAAAATTCAAACAGAGTTGGTGAGTATGTACATTAGGATATGCTTAAGCATTCAAATTACCTGCTTGTATAAGTAAAGCAATTTGGTAATGGTGTATTTTAAACTTTTCAGGGCTTTGAGAGTTTCGCAACAAGTTCATTTGAGTAAGGCCTGTGTAAGAGTAAACACTTTTATTTTAAAAATATCAATTCAGTTTTCATGACAAACTAGATTTATGAATGTGATGGTAGTTACACAGCGCATTCTCAGTTGCCACAATGGTGACACAGGCATTACCGCTCATTTCTGTAAATTTCATGGTTGCTACCCCCCAGCCATGTTCAGAAAGGTGTTTGTAAGGCCACTGAGATTTAAGTGAAAATCAGTGAAAACATCTTCAACCTCAATCTTTTCAGAGATTCAGTGAACAGAAAAGTTCCATTATTTAATGTTCTGGCAAAAACAGAGAGGTGGTGAACTAAAGCATAATGGCAGGAACTTGCAAACCTGTTCTACATCTAATAACATTACATAACCGCACCTGTAACTTGCCAAACCTGTAGCATATTTACTCAAGTAGTTGGTCTTTTTGATGAAGAGTTAATCTTTGGCCAGATAGGAGGACATGTGCAGGTAGTTAAGTATGTATTTGAAGTACCTTGCCAATAATCTAACTTGGGACCTTTGTAAGAGGAAATTAAAATGCTACTGTGCTAGAATTATTGAAACACAAGACATTACATATATGAATCTTTTACACAAAAATATTTATAAGCAATGTTGTTGTTACATGTGCAAACAGGCTTTTTTTTAAATGAAAAACTTACTGTTGGCAAAGATTCTTTTCCCCCCTGCAGGATAAAAAAAAAAAAAAAAAAAAAATTTTCAACGACTGTTTTGAAAATCAACTATGTTATGCTGAAATATTTCTGAAAACTACAACAAGGTTCAAATTAATCTCTTAGAATTCAATGAACTAAAGGGATTTTGTTTTTCTTTTAAAAACTACAGTACTCAAACTGCAGATAATAAAATATTATTTGCTCCTTGAGACAGATTAAATTTGGTTACATTAAAAAAAAAAGGAAAGGAAAGCTTTACCTAAAATTGTTCTTTTAAAAGAAGTTCTGCCATGTATGTAGTTTCTAAAGCATTCTTGCTTTATTGAAGTAATTAATTTTGGTTGTTTCCAATTAATTTTCAGGAGGTTTAAGCAGAGGACAACAACGCACAAATCCATCACAAGGAACAAAAAGGTAAGGGTTTTCTGGAAACTTAAGTACACTACTACTTTTAAAATAATAAAGTTTATAAAAATACTTAGTGTTGTAAAGGTTGTGTAGATATGCACTGTATATTTTAACCTCTTACTGGTTTTTGTTTCTTTCTTTAACTTTAGGTCTGGACTAACAACTTCACAGTCGGTATCAAAAAAGGCTAAATCAAGCAATTCCAAGCATACAATTGAAATGTTTTTTAAATGACTATGTAGCAGCATATTCTATATGAAGTATTTCATAGTGTTTTATGACTGAAAATTAATTTAGCGTTGGTAGTAGGCTGGATTCAGGTGCCTGTCACTTTGGAGCCATTGCACAGCTGTGTAAAAAGAATGCGATGTTTGAGGTAGAAGAAGAGGTACAACTAAGGTGGTTTATTTGTTTCGGTTTTTTTGAGAATAATACTTTTTTCCAGTTGTTTCTGAGAATCAAAATTCACTAGCACTTCGACTTCGTTTCTGTTGAACATGTGGAACTTTACAGAGTCACAAGCAGCCTCATGACTTCTCTCTGCCATCCAGCAAACAGAACAGGGAGATTAGAGCTACCACTGAGCAGGCCTGTAGGGCAAGCTGCCTGAAGGCAGGGATCATGAGCTGGGGTGCCACCCTGTGCTTACTGAAGACCCTTATCCCACCCCTGACCTGCTGTCATCTTTGTTGGTTGTATTGGCCATGGTAGCCATAGTAGCTCAGGCTGATGCTGCCTTGGACAATTCAACACCAAATTTAATTGTGGTATTAGCTGTGTGATAACAAAGAAGTTGTTGCTTGATTTCAGCTTACAAACAGCTGTCTTCTCAGTGGACACAAAAATTGATTCGTCTTGCAGTTTCAAAGGAAAAGAGCAAGAATGTAGAGCCCAGGCAGGCTTTCATTGTTGTCACTGGAAGTTACTTCAGTAAGAGTTGATGGACCAGCCCTGAAGGACTCATTGTGATGAGATACAGGATGACTTCACTGATTGAAAAAATGTTAATAAACCTGTTGATGAGAGAAAGATTCCTCTGAGTTAGTCAGACAAATGCTGTTTGATCCTTGGCCTTTCCAAAGTGACTGAGAACTTTTTCTTTGCAATTGTGAAATTGTTACCAGTCAGTAGCACTAAATTTACTCTAAATAGAAGGTCTCATGGTGCAATAATAATATCAATGATGTGCAAATACGCGAGATGCTGAACCTTCTTATTGTTTACCTATCTTTCACTTGAAAATTATTTTGTATTTCTGAATGAAGGATATTTTATGAGTGCATATGTGGAAGGAGGAAGTTGTAAAGTGCAAATATTTAAAATACTCTTTAGATTTTTTCTGTTCATACCAAATTGCTTAAATGTAGACATTTTATTATAAATAATATTTATCAGGCAAATAATTTATGATGACAGTTTGTATAACTGATAAGTTATATGGACAATGTCAAACCATGTATGAAATATAAACTGCTTTTTAATTGCAAAATCTTTAAAGAAATTAAAGCCTAATAAAAGCCTACTGTAATGGCTTCTATGGAAGCATCTGTTTTGTTGTTTAACTGCATTGGAAGTACTTTGGGGTTTACTTATTTTTTAAACAAACAAATGTGTACCTGGTATGTTTTAGATGTCCAGGCTAAGTCCAGAACATGCTTGTTTGTTTCCAAACTTGCTGGAATGATTTCGCCATCTCTACCTGCTCATCTCTTTGTTTGCCACATGCTACTGCACCCACAGCTCTGTTATTTGAATCCATGTCAGTGCTCCCTTATCTGCTTTGGATCAAATCAGCTGGACTAGTTCAGACTACATAAACTGACTCAGTTGACTTCTTCTAAACCAGGTCAGTGAGCATTCAGCATGAGCTGTTCTGTTGGCTGAGGTAGGAGCTGGAAACTTTGGGTAGGAAAGACATAAAAGCAACTGAGGGAACAATGACTTAAGGTATCACTGCTTTTTAGAAACTGAACACCTGTCCCATTATTAGTTTGTATCTGTCTGATTCAATAAAGTGTACAATCTAAGTATTACCTTGTCATTGTGTGTAGTTCTTTAAAATGTGTGTTTTTACATATGCATTACTTAACAAAAAGGAAACTACTATAAGTGCTTGAATAAATTAAGTTGGTTCGGCTTAGCCTTGGAAGTTGTCTTACCATCTGTTTAAAAAAAAAAAAAAGTGTCATAGAGTTATCTGAGTGTCATGAAGTTAAAGTTGTGGAGTATGTTAATGTGGAAATAAAACTCACAGTATGATCCTAAAGCCAGAAATATCTGTCTTTTGAGATGTGTGTAAAAATAAACGTTTTGGAAAGGCAATCCTGTGTGTTTACCGAAAGTGCTCAGTGAGATTATTTTCATGTTTTCCATGTAAATTATTTACAGAAGTGCAAAACAGAAGCCTTTTTTTCCTATTCCCTATAGTTTTGTATACCACATTTATTGTTGTTTTTATCTGAAGAAGGCCTTTTGTACATGATTAAATATTGTCATAAAATTCTGTGCTATGATTTTTCATCTCAGTTCTTGTTGAGAAGACTTGTATAAGCAATGTTTTTGTTTTGCATTTTTTTCAGTGTGGCTGTGTTATGTAATTGACTTTAACTTAAAATCTGTTTTCATTAGCATCTGGAAATTATTGATAGCTGTGTTTAATTTAATATATAAATTCTTTCCTGTGTGTGAGCCACTCCACACTTAATGTATCCACAGTTCTGAAGCACGTGAATTATCTAGGTTGGCAGCAGATGAGGATTCTTGTGTAGTTTAAGTATCTCTCTTATTTAAGGTAGATAATATATACATGTTGAATTCCTCCGTTAGTTATCCTCGGTGACTGAGTGCTAGTTTTGGTTACAAACTACATTCTGTAAGCAAAATATTTCAAAACTCAAAAGTAAATGAAGATACTACTATAGATAGCAGAAAACAAATTCAACAGGGAAATGCTACTCTACATACTAAGTTTTTAGGTATTAAGAATTTAAAGATAAATTCAAGCAAGTCTTGACATCGAGGACATTGAGGTGCTGGAGCAAAGAAGAGCCATAAAGCTGGTGAAAGGTCTAGAGCACAAGTGTTATGAGGAGCAGCTGAGGGAACTGGGGTTGTTTAGCCTCGAGAAAAAGAGGCTAAGAGGAGACCTTCTCACTCTTTAGGAAAGGAGGTTGTAGCCAGGTGAGTGTCAGTCTCTTTTTCCTAAGTAACAAGCGATAGGATGAGAGGAAATGGCCTGAAGTTGTGCCAGGGGAGGTTTAAATTGGATATTAGGAAAAATTTCTTCACCAAAAGGCTTGTCAAGCACTGGAACAGGCTGCCCAGCAAAGTGGTTGAGTCACCTTCCCTGGAGGTATTTAAAAGATGTGTAGACATGGAGCCTGGGGACATGGTTTAGTGGTGGACTTGGTAGTGCTAGGTTAATGGTTGGACTTCATGATCTTAAAGGTCTTTTTCCAACTTAAATGATTCTATGATTCTTACTGTGGTTGGATATCATGGTGACCAATTTTGTTTATTAGTTGTCTGGCCTGGGTTTCTCAAAATCATTATTTCTAGATATAAATGCTTTGGCTTATGTTGGTTGTTCTAAGAGTTGCTGAAGTTCCACTTTGAAGTGTCAGTAACAGGCAGGAGCATCAGCAGGACAGAGTTTGGACTTGAATTGCTCTGCCTATAGCTGGATTCCTGTTGGAATTATTTTTGGAGTTGGTTTATCCCATCCCTGTTTCTCTTCCTCACATTGTAGTATGCAGATCCAAGCAGAAGACTGGAGCCATTGAGAATCATGCTGCCTACAAGTGAACCTAGGGATCAGCCTGCAGGTGCCTGCGTTTGTTGTCCAGCTGGTGTGCTGGGGATCTCTGCCATGTCTTTTCTGATTGCCATTTGTGTATGTGAGCACCTGTTGAGACTGGGCCTCTTCATTTCATTGTTCTAATGACTATTCATAGGCAAAGGCAAGTGGCAACAGGTAGCTGTAACAGTAAGGGGGTGACTGTAAGGTGCTGCAGTTGCACAGGCTAACAGTTCATGCACCACAGGATTCAGAATCCTGCAGAGTTTCATACTTTCAATAAAAGTACACAGTTAAATACAGATTAATACACAGTTTAATAAAAACATAATATTCACTACCTTGACTTTATCTTCAAATCTCACCTGCTTTTACAGGACATATTTCGCTTGTTTCCTCTCTTTATGCACTATTCCCCATGCTTCCGTTGGTTCTACTTGTTTATGTGTTTATTACTACTGTTATTTTAAATATTTAAAAAATGCTCTGAGTTCCTGGCAGAGAGAGCTTTGCAAAGGCAAGTGAGGAAGAAGTTCCGGTACTCCCTTGCTCTGCACTTTGTTCTGGATTCTGCATCAGTTTTTCCTGCAGGTTGCTGGGGCCATTTGAAAGAGTCAGGATTGTGGGAAGTCGTTAGAGAGTGTGGTAAACTTGCTATTTGCAAAGTTTGAGCACATATAGTTGTACTGGCAAAGTTAGTTAAGAGACAAGGGGTATGCTGTGAAATAGTATTGTATGATAGTAATTAGAATTGGAAACTAACAGCTGGTGTTTCCAGACTGTATGTAAAATTATGATCCTACTTCAAAGATTCACACTATAACTCGTGCTCTGCATGAGGCTGCAAATCCTTATAAATCCTCCTTTGGTGCCAGCTTTGTAGGCAAACCTAATAATTCCACAGTTGTCTGTTATCTCTCATTTCAAAACAGAGCATTAATGTTGCGAACAGTGGGTCTGTATTACCAGCCCAGTCACCATACAGAAATAAAACTCCTCCTCTTAAGAAGTTTTGCTGGAACATTTGACTCACAGGAAGCAAAGAAAAGTGGAATATCCATGATTCAGGTATGGCTAAATCAGTTACTTGTTCTCACTCTGGGTTTATTTTCAGAGTTTTTTTTTCATCTGAGTAACATTCATCTACCGGAAGTACAATTGATGAAACTGTCTTAACAGACTAAGGTGTTTCAAGTGTACGTTCTTACACATCAGAGCCTGACTGTATCAAAAATGTTTAAAGGAGAAAACTGGAATCTCTTCATGTATGATAAGCAGAATCTGAGCAAATACATTTGTATCCAAATTTGCTGAATTTACAAACTCTTTTGGGTGTTTGAGATTAATTTTACCATGGTCATGTATGGTGTTAATAATATTGGATGTTAAGATGACCGTGTAATTTAATTACAAAGAAAAAATTATAATGAAGGAACCC